CTGGATTTAAGTTTTTCCATGTTATTATAAAGGAAGCATAGTTAAGATTCCACAATCCTGATGAGTGTTAAAATTCATTTGTTACATGGACACATAAAATACACATTTGTATCCTGTCCATCAGTGGAGTCTCCCTCTACATTTACTAAAGTCCCATTTGACCCCATTTAATGGGATTTTTTTTCTTACAGCATATTATTTTGCTTCCTTTGTCAGGAACTTATCTCGATGCTGCTGAGTGGTGCATAATGACGGCACCACGTGTGTCTGGAGAGAAGGTAGTGGGGTCAAGACCTGATCCCTGCCTGGTCCCAGTGGAACATCCTCTCCAGAGGCTTCAGGGGACACTTAGTAGACTTGATAAGTGTTGTCTGTGGTGACTGAGTGAGTGACATGCCTGGAGCCCAGTGTAGCCCTGGGGCTGCAGTGACTGGCACAGGCGGAGTCTACAAGATGCTGCGTCCCCGAGCCTGGACTGGGTGGCTGGGCCTCCTTTTTCCTGTTGTCTCTAAAGGGAGGTCTGTTCCTGAGCACAAGTGTCCTGCTTCATGGAGGTGAGTAGGCTGACCATGTGATTTTAATAATATCTCAGTCTCATCAATCACCCTTCCTCTTAACACAATAACTAAGAAAATGACATGAAAGCTACGTTAACCAGTTTGATGGAAATATTTCAAATTGTATATAAAAATAGCACACTGTACCCCATGAAAGTATTAATCTACACAGCTATGATTCAATTAAAAAAAAACAAAACAATATCTCAGTCTAACGTGTTTTGAAGTCAGTGACTCATGAAGGGCCTTAGACCTTCACCTGCTCATACGTGATTAGACAGAAGATGGCAAATGAAGATTCCCAACACCATCAGCCATTAGGGAAATGCAGTCAAATCCAGAAAGCGTTTCCACTGCAGTCCTGTCAGGGTGGCTATAAACAAAATGACAGACAGTACCAAGTGTTGATGACAATGTGGAGACAAGGCAACTCTCATAATTTATTCATATAAATGTAAACTGGTGAAGCCCCTTTTGGAGAGGGAATGACACCTCCTGAAAAAGAGTTGACTATGTTACCCTGAAATTCCACTCCTACCAATCACCCAAGGTGAATGAACTCCTGTGTCCACAGGGAGATGTGAAGGTGGTGCACCAGTGTGACAGCAGCTTCCCTCATAACATCAAAAGGCAACCCACATGCCCAACACCTGCTGAGTGGTCGACAGCCTGTAGGAGATCCATACTGTGGAATATGATTTGGTAATAGAAAGGAATGAAGTACTAATACCACTAAATTATCTTTTATATATTGCATGTCTAAACAAGTAGAGCAATAAACATTTTAATACATTGATCTCCTAAATTATGTAGAAATCCAACATTGGATTTACAACCTAACATTATAATGATACTACATATTTGACTAGTAATTGTTCCATTGTGGGGTGATGAAAATATTTTAAGTTTAGATTATGATGATGGCTGTACAATTCTATAAGTTCTAACATTAAATGAAGTGTATACTTCAAATGGGTAAAATTTACAATATGCAAATGACATGTTAATAAAGAAGCTTTACAAAACAGTATGAAAAACAGCAAAGTCCTTAACTTGGAAAGTCACTACCCCATAAATAGGTCTGTGATCTGAGGGTCAGACCCTCATATGTGGACACTCCGGGGCTGGTCACAGTCAGGCTCTTGGCTGGGGTTTGTCATAGGTAGTAATAAGGGTGATCACAGTGGAGCAGGGGCAGGTTTTTGTCTCAGTTCCCCATGAGTCAGGAGCACTGTGTCAACATTCAGGCTGTCATCCCATCCTAAACAGTAATAGTCAGCCTCGTCCTCAGCCTGTACTCCTGAAATGGTCAGGGAGGCCGTGTAACCAGGCTTGGAGCCACAGAAGTGACCAGGGATCCCTAGGGGCCAAAATGTGCCGAGCATCACAGTTTTGGGGGCACCACGAGAAATCTGCTGGTACCAGCCCACAGTATAACTTCCAACATTGTTGCTGTTTCCAGTGCAGGACAGGGTGGCCTTCTGTCCCACAGACCCTTCACGGAGGCTTCCTGTGTCAGTCTAGACTGTGCCCAGGACCCTGGAACAGAAGAGGTAGAGACACAGAGAGGTGAGTCTGGGGTCATTGCCCACCTCAGGCTCTCAAACAAAAGGGGGAAATCACCCCAGGTGACCCCCCTAAATGCTTCTGCTTCCCAGGTCTTGTCACCTGGACAGACAGAGAGGAGGGTGAGCAGACAGAGAGGAGGGTGAGGGGCCCACCCTGGGCCCCTCTCTTGCCCACCCTCCTCTCTGTCTCTCCTCTCTATGACCCTCCATTAATGTAGGGTTATAGTAAGTTTTGAAATTGTGATTCCTGCTAGTTCTTATTCCTGAGGACCCACAAGTGACTCAGAGCTGCGGCTGACTCTGTACCTACTTCCCCACTGTGGGGACCAAGGGGACTTCCATGAAAATCAGTCCCCTCCCCTCAAATGATCTCCCAACTCATCGGCATAGAGACTTCTTTGCATGAGGCTGGCAGGGCCTGGACTGAGCCTCCCCGGGACTGAGATTAAGCAGCCAGTCTGTCCCAGGGTGCAGTGAGCACCAGGCTCCCAGCACGGAGCAGGTGGCTGATTTCTGGCCAAACATCCCACAGCGTCCCCTGATGCCCCTGGTATGGATTCACTCACATCTGGGATGCCCAGCAAGGGACCCTGGAGAGAGCACTGGACTCCCCACCCCTCGTCTGCTGCCCTCCTCAGACAGAGGGACCTTTCATTGCCCGGTGCCTCCTCCACAGGACACCTGTTCATCTTGGCTAAGCCCTGAATTCAGTGACCAGGCCTACTCGGCAGTTTACTCTGTGGCCATTTCTTCCACTGTAGATTTGTTCTGAGGTCAGCTCACCAGAACCACTAAGAACAGAGACAGACCAGCCAAGACCTGTGAGTTGGAAAGGCCTGGGATGCTGGTTTGCTCTCTCTCTGCCCACGCTGCACCATGACAGGGTGGTTGCCTTTTTATGCTCAGTTGTGAGACTTTCTTTTATACATGAGATATTAGAGCTTTCTCAGATATGTGATCAGCATGTGTTTCTTCTGTTAGTGTTTGACTTTGTTTGACTTTCTATGTCTTGGACCATGTCCATTGACAAACACTTAAAAATTTTCATCAAGGCTCAGTGCCCGTAGCACGGTGGTTGCGTAGCCAGCCATATGCATTGAAGGTGGTGGGTTCGAACCCGCCCAGGCCAGCTAAGTAACAACGACATCTGCAACAAAAAAACAGCTGGGCGTTGTGGCAGGCATCTGTGGTCCCAGCTACTTGGGAGGCGGAAGCAAGCGAACTGCTTAAGCCCAAGAGTTTGAGGTTGCTATGAGCTATGATGCTATGACACTCTACGGAGGGGGACATAGTGAAACTCCATCACAAAAAAAAAAAAAAAAACAAACCAACTTTCATCAAATCAAATTCGAATGTTTTGTAGGTTATACTTCTAGTGTCATAACCCATTTCAAAATCCAGATTTATTAATATTTTGTACTTTTATGTTTGTTCTAAGTGTTTCATAGTTGCAACTATTGCTTTTAGATCTTTAGTACACTTTGAGTTTGTTTTTGTATGTTTTCTAAGGTGGGGGGGCATAGTTATTATTTTTCGTGTATATATCCAGTTCTTTCAGCAAAATTTCCTGAGAAGCTGGAGAACCTATTATTTCATCCTGTATGTTAAATTGTCTAGAGATGCATAATCTCTGAGCTCTCAGTAATACCCTAATTAATTACATGGCTATCCTTATGACTATACTGCGCCATTTTGATTAATGTAGGGTTATAGTAAGTTTTGAAATTGTGAAATGGAATTTTGTTCTTCTTCTATAAGACGATGGTAACTAGGATCCTTGCTATTCCATGTAACTTTTACATCAATTTCTGTTTCTCTGAGAAGCAGCAACTGTAAAAGCCCAGGAAGCTGGTAGAGACACTGGTGAGTCTGAGGTTGCCTCGGTGCACAGTCAGTCCTCCGCGTCCAGGTCTCCACATCCATGGATCCAACCAGCCACAGCCAGAAGGGGTTTGACAAAACAATGAAGATGCCCAAAAAGCACAATAGTACACATGAAATACAGCATAACAACTGTGAGCATAGACTCTACATTGTATAAGGCATTATAGATATTCTGGAGATGGATTTTTTTTTTTTTTTGAGTCAGAGTGACACTTTACAGCCCTCAGTAGAGTGCCTAGCATCACAGCTCACAGCAACCTCAAACTCATGGGCTTAAGTGATTCTCTTGCCTCAGCCTCCCTAATAACTGGGACTAAAGGTGCCCGCCAAAACGTCTGGCTATTTTTTTTCTCATTGTTGTTGCAGTTGTCATTGTTATTTAGCTGCCCCAGGCTGGGTTTGAACTCACCAGCCTCGGTGTATGTGGTCGGCGCGCTACCCACTGAGCTATGGGTGCTGCCCATCTGGAGATGATTTTAAGCATATGAAGGGATGTGCTTAGGTTAGAGGCAAATACTCTCCCTTGAGCACTTGTGGATTTTGCTATTTGCACATAGTCCTGGGAACAAGGTCCTGTGGATACAGGAGAACAACTTAACAATAATCAGACATAGAACCCAAGAATTCCATTTATTTAAGTGAGCTTTAATTTCCTTCACAGATGTTTTTCAGTTTTCAAGGTGCCTGCCTTTCTCTTCCTTGTTTAAAATTATTTCTAAGGATTATATAATGGTAACATAATAGAAATGTTTGCTTAATCCCTCATTTGAATTATTTTTTGTTAATATATAGAAATGCAAGTCAATTCTGTGTGTTTCTTCTTTAACCTGAGAGTTTCTTGAATTAATTTAACTCTAATTTTCAATGAATTTTGCAGGAATATGTACCTGTCATCTTTTTTTTTTTTTTTTTTGAGACAGAGTCTCACTTTATTGCCCTTGGTAGAGTACTATGGTGTCACAGCTCACAGCAACCTCCAACTCCTGGGCTTAGGTGATTCTCCTGCCTCAGCCCCCCGAGTAGTTGGGACCACAGATGCCCAAAACAGGCGCCTCCCCCACAACGCCTGGCTATTTTTTGTTGCAGTTTGGCTGGGACCGGGTTTGAACCCACCACCCTCAGCATATAGGGCCAGAGCCCTACTCACTGAGCCACAGGTGCTGCCCAAGTACCTGTCATCTTTGGATGGAGATGCTTTTGTGTCTTTCTTTCCACCATGAGTTACTTTTATTTGATGTTCTTGCCTAATTTTTTCTGGCTATGACTTCCAATACCATGTTGAATCAAAATGGTAAAAAAATATTTTTACCTTTCTCCTGAATATCATCAGGGCAAACCTTTTCAGTCATTCACTGCTAAGTATAATGTTAGTTGCCTGAGTTCCAACTACAGTTTTTTTATATAATATTGTGGAATGATAATGTCGTGGAAGTTACTTTCTGTCTCTAGTCTAACAAGGGGGTTTATCATAAAAGGGTGTTTATTATTGTCAATTTCTTTTTCTGCATCCACTCCTATGATCCGTCCCCCTCATTTATCATTCCATGGATGTGTATTATGATGTTGGATGTTCTTGTATTGAACCAGCCTTGCATTCCTGGACTCATCCTGCTTGTTTATAGCACATGATCCTTTTAATACGCTGCTGGATTCAGTTTGCTAGTATTTTCTTGAGGTTTTGCATCTATCTTCATAAAGGATATTGGCTTTGGAATTATTTTTCTCGCAATATCTTTGTCTCCCCTTTGTATCAGGGTAATGCTGGATTAATGGAATCAGTTAGGATATATTATCATCTTTGCTATGTTCTGAAGAGATTGAGGATTGGATGTTGCTCTTTAACTGAATCACAGAGTTCACCAGGGAAGCTGTCTGGTCTTAGGCTTTCCTCTGTTGGAATATAAAGTATTCACAATTAATTTTATTCACTATATCTGTTTACTACATCTCTATACATCTTTTCAGATGTTTTATTTTACATCGAATCAGGTTTGGTAGCTTGAGTATGTGTAGGAATTTGTCTATTGCCTGTAGTTTACCTAGATTCTTGTTGTACAATTGATGCATACATGTTTATATTATGTAAAAAAAATTATGGGGGCTAAAGAGACCCCAATGTTTATTTCTGATTGTAGTAATTTGAACATATGTTATTTTTTGTCATTCAGTTTAGCTAAGGATTTGTGAGTTTGGTGATAATTTCAAAGACCTGACTTTAGGTTTTATTGTTGGCATTCTGCACATCTCTGCTCCAATGTTTTCTATCTCCTTTATTCTTGTTTGTGTTTACTTGTCTATTTTCTTTTTATTTCTTGGAGGTGAAAATTAGATTATTGATTTGAGATCTTTATTGTTTTTAATGTTGGCATTTATAGGTATACAATCTATTCTGAGCACTGCTCTCACTGCCTTCCATAACTACGTGAATGCTCTGTCTGCTGTTCCTAGAAACCTTAGTGTTACCCATAATGTCCCCAGGGGAAGTCAGGATGCTTCTCATGTGCCTGAGAATGACAGGGGGATCAGGGCTGGGAAGAACAATGAATGACACTGAAAGGGCAAGAGCTTGGGGAATTTCAGGTCCCTTGGGGAGGACATGGGGAGGAACAGGGAAGGGAAGAGTGTTTGGCATAGGAGAAGCCACCATGGGGTCTGCCTGGGGAGCCCTGCCCTCCAGGGAGGCCTAAGGAACCTGCCAAAGGTGGTGGGATGAATGGATGAGGGTGGGAGGCAGCAGGACAGGCGCAGAGAATCTGTGGGAAGACTGACCTGGTCAAAGACAGTCCAGTCTCAGCTCAATGTTGTCCAGTGGCAGCTCTGTGGGCTCACATGCTTCTTATCTGTCATCTATCTGGTCTCTTCTCAGGACACCCTACAATCCTTCTTTCTATAAAAGGTCCATGTCCTCATCTTCCACCCCCAGTGCTCTGGTGACTCTGGGCAGGGACCTGAATTGTGCCGACTGACTTTGCTGCTGCTGCTGCTGCTCAGGTCCCCACAGTAAGAGCAGGTGGCCTCTCAGGAATTCCACGCAGGCTGGAGGTGGGGAAGGTGGTCAGCCCACTGGTGGTGGGGGCAGGAACTTGCCTCTGAGCTGTACTCACATAGTTCACAGTGTCCTCTGTGGAGTGTGGATGACAAATGAATGCTCCTGGAGCCATGTGGGGACGTCCAGCACAGCCTGCTGAGTTCCACAGTGTTGACAGGGCACATGAGTCTGTCCTGTCCTGTTAATTCTTGATAGGTGGAGTCATTTCATGCAAATATCAACCCATTCCTTTCATTTCCATCCTTTAGTTGGACTCCATCCTAGACAGAGGATCCATTGTGTGGAGGCGAAGAGAATCTCTGAGTCATCCCCACGGGCTGCGGGATGTCCGTGCACCAGGTATCTTAATGGGTCTGGAGCAGTCTCACCTGCAGGAGAGTCCCACAGCTGTGGGGTCATCGCACCCAGTTCTACAAGGGGAGGCTCAGCCATTGCACTAAAGGGGACATACTGGTTCTCTCTCTCTTTCTCCCTCTCTCTCTATCTCTTTCCCTTCCCCTCTCTTAACCAGATCCATAATGTCTCCTGCTGGCCACAATCACGTCCCTCTTCTATACATCTCATGGCTCACTGTCCTAGCAGGTTCACCTGCCTCTGCTGACTTTTTTCACCTTGAGGAAGAAGTGTGGTGCTGTAGGATTGTTTACCCCCCAGGTGCCATCATAGAAAGTCCCCTGTCTTTCTGCATCCCCCACCCTTTCACTTGCCACCTCCTGCAGGGACTCCAGTGATCCCACTGTGGTGGGCCTTGGTTTCAGCTTTCACTTAGTCTTTTCAGACACTCTGCTCACACTTTTATAATGTGCCTTTTTATTAACTTTATGTCAATTTACCTTATTGCAGTATGCTGGCATTTTCTGCAGGATCCCTGATTTGGGTTACACATGGATTAAGTTTTGAAAATTAATTAACTGTACCAGGAAAAAGTCAAAACTCTTCTTTTCTTTGAAGGATTCTGTGTCCTGAAGAAGGAATAGCTGTTCTCATACAGATGACCGGACTTAGAGTGTCCTGTTAGTGATGGTGCAGACATCCTCTAAGAGGAGTAGGGGGCTCCCTGGACGGGCTGCAGACTCTCACGGTGGGCCCTAAATTGCTGGAGATTTCACAGCTAACACTGGTTGTTGCCACAAGCAGTGAGGGCCTGTTGACTTTATGGGATGATCCACAGGTTCTGACCAAGAGGTAAGATATAAGTGAATAATTTTTCTTCTTTCTAGAGGAAAGAAGTTTCTGAGATAAAGAGGCTCTGAATTTAATAAACTTGGCTGAACGGGTGATATTTCAGTATTGTTGTGAGGGTTCTATTTTTGTTTTTTGCATTTCTCAAAATTTGGAATAATGAATGGAAAATTGAAGGTACAGCCTTTTTGTGACTAATGGTCCTTCTAATTAGAGTGTGTGTGTATGTATATGTATATGTATGCAATTTATTCCAAATTCTGAAAATTGTCATAGGATGGGGCCCTGAGCAGACAACGGTTTTTGTCTCACTTCCCCATTTGCTTGTGTCACTGTGAGAAGCATTGCTGTACCATATTTCACAGTAATAGTCAGCCTCGTCTTCAGCCTGCAGCCCAGAGATGTGCAGGATCCCTGCATTGGCTGAGGCATCTTTAGATCCAGAGAAGCGGCTGGGGACCCCAGAGCCCTGGTGCTTATTTGAGTCTGTGTAGTAACTCAGGAGATACCGGGGAGGGCTCTCTGGCTTCTGTTGGTACCAGAATATCCAGTAGCTACCAACATTGATGCCACTTCTTAGGGTGCAGGTGAGTCTGGCTGATGATCCAGGAGATGCCGAGAGGGAGGGTGGCTGAGTCAGCACAGGCTGGGAGAGGGAACCTGGAAAAACAGATGCTCATTGGCGCTGGAGTAGGGACCAAGGTAATGTTTTTCAGAGATCTTTGCAAGAAGATCCAGAATTGGGGTAGGGGCTATTTCTGGTCTCTGAGGCCTGTCCCTACCTGAGCAGTGAGACAGGAGAACAAGGAGGACAGCAGCCCAGGCCATGGTGGACACAACCCTGGTCCCCACAGCAGGGCTGGGCTGCCCCAGGCCCCCTTTTCTCCCCACCCTCTGCACAGGAGGGGCTGCTCATGCAAATGTGTTTCCATCCAGGACTGCCCACCCCTCCCTGACCCTGGGCTGGGGCTCAGCTCTCCCTGCAGACTGAAGAAGAGGGGACTGGCTTTTTCCCTTGTGGGAGCCCTGGGAGGAAGCACCTGCTGAGATCACACAAAGGTCCCTGCTCAGGGGACTGTGCTGGGCTAGAGAGGACACAGCTGCTGAGTCCCCATCAGTGAGCACAGGGCCCAGCCCTGAGGCCCAGGCTCCTTGGAGTGACTGGTCTTCCCTGAGCAGCTGTGTAGGGACACATGGCAGCTTCCCAGCACCCCCTGCTGGTCTCAGCACACACCTCCCTCATGGTCAGACACCTGAGTGCCCAGCTGGTCTCTGCAGCTCCCTGTCACTGCCTCTGTCCCCACACACATGGGTTGATTCCCACCTCCTGTGATTCCACTACACATCGTGATAACTGCAGTTTCTCGTCCTCAGATGTATTCCTGATCACTTCTCGGCCTTTTGGCAAAGATCAACTCTATAATTATCCGGCTGTGGTAGGTGCAAACCTAAATAAATAACTTGTTTTTCTGTTGGTCTATGTAGAGAAAACATGATGACATTTATATCATACCACTGATATATAATTTAATTTTTAGAGTTGCACGTCTCATGCTTTGGTCAACTAGCCATAAATATTGGCTTTTGTTTTGCTCACTCCAACTTGTTAGTCAGTTTAATTATTTTGCTGATTGATAAAGTGAAGGACACACAACAAATCCCAAGGTCTGCAGCTGTGGGGCTGGTGGGTCCCTCACCATGTGAGGGTCGGACTGGTCACCCCTGACGGCACGCACGTCCTCGCACATCCTCTACTCCCTTCTCCAGTCTGGGAGAAGCATCTCCCTGCTGTCTGAAATTCCACACACCTCACATTCTTTACTCAGGAATTTTTCCACTGGGGCTATCTGCAGAATTCTGGATTGAGGGGTTAAATATTAAAATCTCACTAATCACAGAGTAGAATTTGCCTCAGTGTTTAGCACTTTGCTACAGAATAGCTCACTGGCTCTCTGTTAACTTAGATGTCAGTGGGATCCCTGTGACGCTCTTGTCCTCTGAGGTCCTTTTCCCCTGGAGGCTCTTCAGTGCTCAGGCTCTGCTCCACAAACAACAGTTATTCTTTCTTTTCTCAGTACTTGGGGGTCCACCATGTCCTTCCCCACTGCATGAATTCATGGGATACAGTCCATCCTCCTTTTCAGCTTCTCTAGTGCTCCCGTGCATTTTCCTCTCCCATTCTCTAAATTCTGAGGATCACGTTCTTGCTTGTCAAATTCTCTGTCATCAAATCAGAACTGAGACTCAACAGGGTCAGACTATAATGGAAACAGTGATCTTTGCCTGAGATCTGCTCCTGTTTCTGGGAATTGTATTTACACAAATTCACATATCCATTCATAAAATAAATTTAATTAATTTTTTTTGTGCCAGGCTGAGTTCTGGGTGCTATAAATACATTTATGACAAAACAGGAGAAAAATAAAATCCTGGACCTTAGTTCTCAGTGGGGGAGGTCCTGTTTATCAAACTGGGGTCCCCAATGCTGGCTGCCACTTTTTTCTGGACCAAAGCTGGAGGAGCCTCAGCAGTCACAGACTCTCACTCTGTGAAGCTTCCTACTCTTTCGTATGTTGTTCCAGGAACCTGAGCAATCTTCTGTAGCTCTACCTTCCCCCAGTCCCCAACTCAGTAGACAGAACCTCAGGACCAAATTTGGGTTTCAAAACCTCGTGAGCCAAAAGGTACATCCAGAAAAAAATGCATGTTCACTGACGAACTCCTGTGTGTGTGTTCTGAGCTCACATACTCTGATTCTGTCTGTTGGCCAATGTGCAGTATCTGAAAAGAGTTATTTCATGCATTTGATTCTGTCTTATAGTTCTTCATGGTGAGAGGTTGGACTGGTCACCCCTTATGCATCATGGCCAGAGACAGAAGGTGACACACTCTTGGTGTCACTGGCTTTACCTGTCTGACTTCAGATCAGTGAGTTTCATCCTCTCTGATGGTTTCTATAGGCCCCATAGGCGGGTTCTGATCAGTGCTTGTCAGGGTTTGCTGAGCTTCTTATAAAAAGTTTCTTCATTATCTTCTCATTTATTTGTTTCACCCTATTTAAAACGTTCTGGGTCATCACACTCAAGTACATTATTCTCTCCCTTTCTCCCAGTCCTCTTTCTGGGACTTTCACTGTGCCTATGTTGACACACTTGATGCTGTCACACTGGTTCTCAGTTTCTGCACATTTTTTCTTGTTTTCTTATTTCCTCCTGTTACTAGAACAGGAAATATTAGTTCATCTGTCTTTAGCCAATAATCCTTTCTTTTTTACTTTTTTATTAATTATCTATTTTTGAGGCATCCTTTTCACAACTTTTAAATATATTTGAGATGTTTTTCTTTATTTACTTGAATGTAATTTTAACAATCATTTTAAAGACTTTTCCAGGAATCCCAAGGTATCTATGCTCTTTGGGGATAACTTCTTTCAACCATTTTTTGTGTTGTTCTTTGTTTTTTATTTCCCCTTGTATAGGAAACATACTTTACCATGTCTTTATTTTCATCATAATTTCTCTTGGACAAATTGAGATTTCAAATATTTAATATGTGTACTATAATGTGAGAATTCTGGAAATAATGTTATTTGTGTTGTTTTTGCTATTTTTGTTGAAATTTTTATTATTGATGGTTTTTGTGGCATGATTTTCTGGGATTATTATCTAAATTTGTATTCCTTTTATGTGTGGTCACAGAATTTTCTGTTTGCTTGTATTAGCAATTGGATAATTATTGGACAAAAATCTTCTTAATTACCTTGTTGAAAAAGGGTTTTCAGCACATCATGAGTCTAAAACTCTACCTCAGCCTGAGGCACATCCTTATACATGTCTTTCATATCAGTCAGTGTAGAAAACTTGGGGCCTGCCCAGTTCTTACCTGGGTTTGCACAGAAGCACGTTCTTACTTGAGCAGGCCAGTGTCATCCAGGTCCCCAGACCATGTCAGAACTTCTCAGCATCTTCTGAGAACTTTATTCCCCTGGGTTTCTTTGTCCTTGTTGTTGCTCTAGTACAGACTGTTGTCAACTTCAACTTGTATCAGTGGCTCAAGAACCTGTGATGATAAAAACACCTCTAATTGTTTTGACAAACATACTGAAGCTGGAGCTGCTTACACAGAGCAAGTTCTGCTGAGTCAATTCAAATCTGGACAAGGGCTGAAAGGGAGACTTTCCTATGAGCATGCAGGAAGCTCAGATGGTATCAGGGAATGTCAGATGGTATCAACAGCAGCCAGGGAAGGCCCCTCAGTACTTCTGGGAATGGGGCTGTGGGGACAATTTCAAACCTGTTATTTGGCTGATTAGTGTGTGATATTCTGTTGCCTTCGCAACTTCAGTGATTTTGAGACTGTTAGTTTTAAAGGCCACCATGAATCTGAGGACACGGCATTGAGAACAGGAAATAAAAATATGACAAACCTTCTACTTTATATAGACATCTGTTTTCCACTATTTTTTTTTTAGTGCTTCTCAGATTGTTGCAGACTTTAGTAACTATCTCAAGTTCTGGAAAAAAGGTCATTTGGATGATTTTTCGCAGTATTTTTATTGCTTGTACAGGGAATCAAGTGTTCCAATGTCCCCTCTCCACCATTCTAGAAGGGTTTCTGGAGATTTATTTTTGAAAAATAAAACAAATAACCTCTTGACTTTCTGGCTCAGGACTGTCAGGGTGTCCTGGATGGCTCACTATGTCCTCTTTGACAGATTATTGTGCCTCAGGTGACATTTTTGCTGTGGTAGAGATAGTCTCTCTGTCTTGTCCCTGACTCTCCAAACCCACACACTGGGCACGTGGGAAAAGCTTCAGAAACACCCAAGTCATTAAGGATTTCCCTCCCTCTGCCTCTGGCTTTTATGATCTCTGTCTCTGTGGATCTAGACTGTGCTTTCTGGCATCTTGAGAGAAATGTAAAGTTTCTTAAGACAAAAGTTGTGTTCCTGGGTTGTCATTGACTTGAACCTCAATGTCCCAGGAGTGAGGTAAGTCCCAGGAGGGTGGTAAGTGGCTGGGACTCAGGGTCTGAATTTGGAAAGGAGATTGTCCCTGCTTATCTCATTCAGAGACAACGTGCCAATCCAGGGGATGTCTGGATGTTCTGTGATATTTTTATCATTAATACAAACCTGTGCTTCCTAAATAATCATGGCCGAGCAAGATGATTTCCAGAAAACTCTTGACATGACTCAGAATGTATCTGGTTTAAATATTATAATATATATATATATATTTTTAATGCAACACTTGTCAGTTTTCAGGGAACCAGACACTATATCTGAGAGCCAGGTGGCAGCCTTAGTAGCAGAGTAGAGAAAACAGTTTTTGTCCCACTTCCCCCTTCATCTAGATCACTGTGCCCCACCCATATGAACCACCAACGTTGTAATCTGCGCCACAGATATAGTCAGCCTCATCCTCAGACTGGAGGTTGGAGATGGTTAGGTAGCGGTCAACTCCAGAGCTGGAGCCTGAGAAACGATCAGGGATCCCGTCCCCCTTGTTGCTGGTTCCATCACTCTTAAGCCACATCAAGTACCGGGGGGCCTTCCCTGGCTGCTGCTGGAGCCATGCAATGCCATAGTTGCTGTACCCACTGCTCAGGGTACAGGTGAGCTTGACCGAGGCTCCCAGGGAGGCAGATGCAGAGGGCAGCTGAGTCAGCACAGGCTGGGAGAGGGATCCTGGAAACACAGACACTCATTATGACCTGGACAAGGGGGAAGGACAGTCCTGGCATGGGTATGGGAGGAGGTGTCTGTGGGCTGGGTGGTGAGGGTGCTGAGGACGGTCCTGACCTGTGCAGTGAAGGAGGAGGCTGAGGAGGACAAGTGGGGTCCAGGCCATGGTGCAGGCACCCCAGAGCTCTACCAAGGCAGACAGGCTGCAGGTCTCTCTTATCTTCCCTCCAGCCCCAGGGGAGAGAGAGGGGCCCTGCATGCAAATGTATTGCTCTTCCTCTGCCCAGCCCAAACCTCCCTGGGCCTGTGTAGCCCCAGTGGCTGGGTATCATTTCTGGGAGGGGAGTCTGGGCTGGGCCTGTCATCAGGCTTCCTAGGGACCCAAATCTGAAATAGCTGCTGAGTGCAGTGAGGCCAGGGTCAGGAGTCTGTGTTCCCAGCTATGCCCCATAGAATCTTCACTGACAGCCACACAGCACACTCTGCTGCCCAGGCCCAGGTCTAGTGTGTCTGTGACGAGATGTCAGGGAGTCCTGACAGGCTCCTGCCCCCACCAGGGTCTTTCCCACTGCCCACTTTCTGCCCAAGGAAAGAGTGAGGCCCTTCCTTAGCACATACCTCATCTCAGTCCTTAGTTTTCTTTTATTTCTTTTTTTGTTTGTTTGTTTCTTTTTTTTTTAGTAGGAATGGTGCATGAAATTGGAAGGTTGAAACTTTTTTAATTATTAAAGTCCTTAGTTTTCTATTTGAGCCTCCTCAGTGGGAGCAGGACATACAACTCACCCCACATTAAGGGGAAGGACTGTCTCCTATTGCCGGTGCCTGCTGTGGCACCCCATCACCACGCAAATAGAAACAGCTGGGACATGGATTGAAGGTGCATGTTTGCAAGTGTTGAAGGGAGAGCTCTGAGTTACCTCTGTTGTGGCCTTTTATTAAAGTACTATACAACAGGCGTGGGGGTCCCGGGCACAAGGACTACGTGCTCAATGATCACCATGTGCTCTTTCCCCATGGGCTCGACTCCCACCCTGTTGCACCACAAATGTCCAAGGTATAACACCTGCTTGCTAACAAGTGACCAATCTTAACTCAATAACGCACGCCGCTGCTTGAGTCTTGTCTCCAGGCTGCAAAACATCTCCATGCTAGCTAGGACATTGTCCCACTCCCAGTGCCTCATTCAAGAACTGGTGACTGTTTCTATCAGCCTCTGCTTGGTCTCCTACATCCTGTACAAACTGTACATGAAAAAAGATGCACATTAGCTAAGAGCAGGATAGGTCAACCATCATCCCACTTCCCAGGCTTCTCTTGAAGCCATTTTCTCTGTCCTTACTGGATCCTTCAGGAGGTCACACACAGGGAGCAGATTGGGGAGTGTCTGGGGGATAAAGGAGCAGACTGGGGACCCGCTGGCATCACTGGGGAGTGAGAGAGACCCAGGGATGAGTAGGAGAAAGTCTTCACAGTGATGAGAGAAGTGAATCAGCTCACTTGGGGCTTGCTTTGAAGTATGGGATCAGAGAAGTTCAGGAAAAATAGAGGATGTGAGTGAAAAATTCTTACAAGTCCATATTTTTTCTTATGCAAATATTTTAGTAGTTAGTTGAAGAGGTCAAAGGAGAGGAGGGATGTTGAATGAAAAGGAGAGAGACCCAAAGACTGAGATGGAGAGTAGTGAGTCAGAGAGAGGAAGAGGGAGAGGTGGGAAGAGACTTCACTGTGGACGGGGTGGAGGGAAAACCAGTGGGGAGATTGGGCGGGAGCCAGAGGCGGATTTGGGTATCTTTGCTTTCATTCCAGTCTTTTTTTCCCTAGAAACTGGGGCCTCTTCCAGCTCCTCACTGTCTTCTCTGTTCTTCTTCCTGCATGGACTCGGAATCCTTCTTTAATCACAATTCTTTAATTCTCTTTGGAAAGGTTTCTTTTCTGTTTTCATTTGCTAGTGGATTTCTTTCTTGTTTTCCACCATTCTTATATATTTGGTGACATTGAGGCGTTTGTGTGGAGGTTTGGGGGAAATCACCTTTTATAAATGCAGAATCCTAGGCCCCACTCCGTATGACCCGAGTCAGAGTCCACATGTGACAGGATCCCAGCTGATCCCTGTGCCCAGGAACGTCTGAGAAACTCTGGTCTGACAGAGGCAGGGAGGCGCTGCTGGGTTTGGAGAAGGACTGTTCCTCATCCTCTGTCTGCTATGCCTCTTGTCAGCATGTCCAGAAAAGTACCGTCTCAAGCCCCAATTTTAAAGGGCAGGCTGAGCATAATGCGCTTGAGGCTTCCCATCAAGTGTGGCGGCAGCTCCCCCTGAGCTCACCATCCCCAGAGATGACCTGAAGCCTGTAATAACAACATGATCTTTTCATCTTCACTTCATGATGTCAGTGAACAAGGGAAATAATTTAACAGTTGCAATTTCCCATGACTACTTACCATATTCATAATATTAATCGGTGCTTCTATATGTATGTATTTTAAAAACAGACCATTCACTATATTAACCCTAAATGATAATTATGGACATAAAGTATAGAAATAGGGGCCCCCATATGATCGTACTTGTGGAGGTAGTGAGGGCCAAGATGAAATAAATGCGATTGAATTCAGGAACACTGTTATGTTGCTCGTTTGGTTCTTTTTTTTGTGTGCAGTTTTTGGCCAGTGCCAGGTTTTGAACCCACCGCCTCTGGTATATGGGGCCAGCACCTGACTCCTTGAGCCACAGGCACTGCCCAGTACTTTCATTTTCTGGGACAACAGTCACTATGCAGCACATACTGGGCAGCCTAGAACAAGGGAAATGTGCTGTTCTAGAGGCTTAGTCTTGCCAGTCCAGAGACAGGGTCATGTGTGCTCTGGTCTGTCTTAGGGGATCCTGTCTCAGTCTGATCAGCTTTGGGTGGTGTGCTGACAAGCTTTAGTGTCCCTTGATTTGCAGTTACGTAAATCTTTTATTTGCCCTCATCTTCACATGGCGTTCTCTCCACATCCTCCTATGTTCTCAGGACCATATTATCAGAGCGCTAGGAACAGTGAGTCACTGGGAAGTAGGATCATGGCTGAACTGTCCTGTTCTCAGCTAATGTGGAATCAGGAGGACACCACTATCCTGTATGGCCTCATCTCAACTAACTTCATCTGCAATGATATTATATTTTAAGTAAGGTCACCTTAGGTGTACTGGGGGTTAGGACTACAATTTATCTTAGTAACTGGATTTATTTAATTATATCCATAGATAGAAAGAATCATTTTGTACAATTAAATTTGTAAAATATTTTTGAATGTTCTGCATACTGCATTCACATATTGTACTCAAATGGAGCTAAATAAATAAACTTTATTATAATAACATACAAAAATATCCTCTTCCCTTTACTCTTAGTTGCCAAAAAGAACATCATTGTACATGCTGATTTCTGAAGGAAATGTGTTTAATGTTAATCATTAAACCTGACCCAGCTGTTGCTTTTATTTATATAATGCAGGGTAAATAAATACTTTTTCTTTTTTGTGGTTCCTGTCCTTCCAAGTCATTCAGACATATCTTCTAGTATAAGACTCAAATGGGAATGGGAATTAATTCATACCCTTCTATTCACCTTTCTTTATAAGGTTATTTAATAAGTAGGCTGCTGTGAGAGCTCAGCTGTCTGGTCATGTGATCATATTTGACTGAATCCCAGGCTCAGTTAAAGGTTGATTTATGTCTTGTTCTTACTCTGGATCTCTCCCTGTTCAAGCACCCCTACAGGGTATCCTGAAGCAGTCCTAAGCCTGGACCACTGACTGGGCCTTGAGAGGGGTCAGGACAGGTTTGCCCGTAAGCAGAAAATGTAAGAACTCCCTGTCATTCAGGAGTGTTTGAGGCTTATATTATAAATTAATGTACTGTGACTCGGCCAGACTTCTGCTGGATCCAGTAAGGACAGTGACCACTGGTGGCTGTTCCATTGCTGAAGCCACAGATGAGAGTGACTGTCTTTCCTGCAGACACTGTAGGATGCTCCTGCATCACTGAGAGGTTAAGGACCCAAAGGCGAAAGATTATTCTGAGGGGTGAAATTAAAGGAAAATGGTGTCCTAGTTCTGTGTGGTCAATGTGGTCTTTATTCCACCCAAACGCAGGTGGGTGAAATCCCTTGCCAGGAAAGAATTCCACATGTGGGTTATGGTGGATGGGCACTTAAAGGGTCAGTGGGGCAGGGATTGGCACAGTCATTATTTCCTGGGTGAGACATGTGGTTGATTCTTCCTGGGCAAGTCAGTTCTACCTGGGTAGGTCAACTCTATCATTCTGGTCTTTTTAGTCTATTATAAGGAGGCAGGGTGATGGGCATGGCATCTCTTTGACTGCTTCCTGTGAGATGAGGGGCTGCCTAGACTGCGTGTACAGAGAAAGGTGGGGGAGGGGATAATAGGAGGTGAAGCAAGTGACGTTTACAGGAACATTTTGGCTCTTCGGTTTGAACTGGTCAATATCCATGTAGGGTTGATATCTCATGTAGGGTATGAGTAGTTGTTTTGGGTTGACTGTCTGGTTAATAAATCAGGAGACAAAGCAGAGAATTACTGGTCCACAACTGAGAATGAGAAAAATTATTAATTAGTGGCCTATCATAGATGATAACCAAAGAAGAAGATGGACAGTGAGAAGTAAGAGCCAGTGGGAATTGTCGGGGCTGCTAGTAATCCTGAGAGGACATCTTCATCTACTGGGGGGAACGTTGCACAAGGCACGAATGTGAGAAAGAATGCACCACAAAGGTAGAGTTTTTATCATTAATACCCATCCTCAAGATCTCTGCCTGTTTTAGAGGACCCTGATATCAGAAAAGGAATTGGCTTACCTTCCACGAGAAAAAAGTACCCAGGGTTTAGTTTTCCAGGACGGCAGTCTGATTTTTGGGAATCATTGGTCTTTTGAAGCTAGTCTAAGGAGGTCAGGAATTTTCACAAGGTCTTGGGAGTGACTGCAAAACCAGATCTTCAGAAAGACCTGGGCACTCAGACTTCCAGTGAGGACCTTTGTAGGCTGGACATGGTTTGAGGGAGGGTTTGGATTTGGGCACTATTCATCTCAAAAGCCTGGTTTGCTGCACTTAAAACACAGTCCTGGGAGAGGTTTTGTTCTTTCAAATTTCCTTGTGGAGTTTTCAGAAGTAACCTGGTTTTA